GGTTCATGAAATGTGGGAACTAACTTAATGGACTGATAGACACACTTGTATGCAACAGGTCGAGAGAAATGACCACAGAAATGTAACTGCCCAAATGATTTCAAATCTCATTCGTAATAAGATTCGAAAGAAAGTGGAGTACGGTGTCGACATGATCCAGGCTGATGTGAAACGGTGCTGGAAAGTGGATGTCAGCTACAAGAAGGCATGGCACGGAAGGAGAAAAGCCATCGAGAGTGTATATGGCACTTGAGAATCGAACTTTACAGAACTCCCTCAGTAAGCAAAAATTAATTATAAATATATGTGTTGCTTGTTTGTCGCTATTTTTATCTATTTATTATGAAACTGTTTTGTAATGTATAGGTATTTTGCCGCGCTTCAAAGAACGAATCCCTCCACAATTGTAGAGTGGGAATGGCAGGGTGAGGAAATGGCGCGACAACTTCGAGACAGACAATTCAAATTTGTATTCTGGGCGTTTGGTCTCGCTATTCAAACTTTTCAAATGTGCCCGCCGGTTATTAGCGTCGATGGCACACATTTGCGTGGATCCTACAAGGGAAAATTGCTTGTGGCCACGGCACAGACTGCAAATAAGCGCCTATTGCCAGTCGCGTATGCGCTTGTTGATGAAGAAAGCACGGACAGTTGGTCATTTTTCCTTAGAAATCTGCGGCAATATGTAGTCTTCCACAGACCGATCTGCGTTCTTTCCGACAGGGATGCTGGCCTACTCAGTGCCACTGAATTATTAGCAGATTGGCAAGAACCCGTTGCGTATCACCGGATTTGCCTTCGACACCTTCGAAGCAACTTGGTGACTAAGTTCAGGAGTAAGAAAATTCGGACTTGGTGTTGGGAATTGGGTTCGCAGTTGTCGGAGCGAAAGTTTCGAAGGACAGAACAGCGACTGTTGGCATTGAGTTAAAAACCACACAATTACCTTTTTCGAATTCCTTTGAACAAGTGGACCCTATTGAAAGATCAAGGACGCAGATGGGGCACATTGACAACGAATATGTCGGAGAGTTACAACAACGTCCTGAAAGGGGTTAGGTTCCTGTCGTGCAGAGCTTTGGTAGACGCCACATTTCATAAAACTCTGGATTTGTTTCAACAGGAACAAAACAAGTCCACGAGATGCGGGAGTCCCATTGCTAGGGAGCACTTTAACGCATATTTGCAATTGGAGAAGACAGCCGTCACTCATAATGTGAGAGTTAGGGACGCCGACAGCTCCATATACGAAGCGGAAACCGGTTTACGAGCTAGTGGAAGAGGGCAAAACAAGTAAGTATATGTTATTTTTTTTTTCTTTGTCCATTCAATTTTTTCATATTGTATATATATAAATCAATGAGGAATTATTACAGGTATAAGGTAGATTACAACCAAAAACGTTGTAGTTGTCGGAAGTGGCAAACGCATAGGAAATCATGCTCTCATGCGATAACAGTATGTCGTTCAGTTGGGACTGACCCAAAACTGTTGTACAATGAGCATTTTTGGACGGAGAACTGGGTAGCTCAATTTAGCAATTGGAGTTTTGCTCCGATTGGTAATCCGGATACATGGACGCCGGTCGAGTGGAAATTGATACCACACTGGGAGAGAATGATCTTGAAGCCTGGACCCGGTCGCGTGCAAACGAGACGATATCGCATGCAAATGGATCGTCGGGAACGCCGCAGGAGGGATAGGGGACAGTGCACTAGATGCGGTGATCCAAATCATGTTGTGGATGAGTGTCCGTCTTCACATCCTCGAGGCCAGGGAATGACCGGGAGAGCAGTTTTTGACTGGGTGACCTTTCACGGAGAGCTTGGGAATGCTTGGGTCGAATATAGAGACGAAAATGTCATCCCAACATTCCTTGTGGTGTCATTCATTAACCCTGAGGCAGGTTACCTTGATTGGTTTCACAGTATCACTGTGAGACTACTCGGTGACCCTGCTAAGTACGCGGTGGCCCAACTGGACAGAGGCTTTCGCCCACTTGCCGAGCAGGGGAAGTGCGACGTAAGTAATATATATTTCTGTTTTTTATTCTATTATTATTATTATTTTTATTTTTATTTTTATTTTATTTTTTTGTGTTTCATTCTAATTGACTTTGAATTTAATTTTCAGACTACCGCCATGGAGGGAGCTTATCACACGTTAACGAATGTTGACCACCTCTTTCATACACTCCCTCCAGAGGTGCAGGCCGCAGTCTTATAGGCCAAGAGCCTTCTCTACAGTTCTATGACTGTCGGAGGCGGAGATGTCGCACAAGGGCCGTCGTCGAGCCAAGTTCTAACGGAGGAGAGCTACGTCCGATCCCAGAGGGCGCAGTCACACCGGGCGAGGCATCAACCTGCTGCCAACATTGGTGGAGGTAGAAGACGACGCGACCGCCAACCCGCTGCCGATACCGGGCCTCAGGAAGAGGAAGAAGGTGAAAATTTTTAACTTAACAAAAAAAATAATTTTATTTATTTTATTTATTTAGTTATTGTGATTTTTAAAAAAATTATTTATTCAGGTGAAGAAGAACAAGAAGAAGAAGAATCAGTCACGTCCACAGCATCGTCTTCTTCACAACGACCACAACGTCGGATCAGCCAACGACAATGCAATCCTACGAATCGATACACTCCGAATTAGTTTGTATTGTATTCAGGGAATTTTGTGAACATATGTGTTGATTTTCTTTTCATTTTGTATACTCATATTTGTGTTTTGAATAAATTATTGTCGTTGAGTTTTTGTATATACTGTATGTTGGATTATTTTGGGCGAATTGGTTCATATTAGTTACTTGAATAGGTTGTGATTTGTTGAACAGGTTGTGAAATGGATCCAAAAAAATATTTTGCATTTTTCTGCAGAGAAAAACGGATTCATAGAATCCGTTTTATGAGAATTAGGGCAAAATTAGGTCAAAATTAGGGCAAAATCAATTTTTGGGGGAAAAATTACACGGAAAACGTACTTGTCAAATACGTTTTATATTTCCAAAATTATTTTCCGCAGAAAATTTATTTTTAATAATTTTAAAATTAATTTTTTTAAAAACGTATAAAAATAATCCGTTTTATAATTAATAAAATAATTTTAATTATAAAACATATTAAAATAATACGTTTTTTATTTAATGTAATTAACTTAATTAATTAATTATGTTAATTAATTATTTTTTAGTAAAACGGATAAATTTAATACGTTTTACTTAAAAAAACGTATTCAAGAAATCCATTTTTTAAGAAAAAAACGGATTTATACAATATGTCCTTTTTATTTTTTTCCACTCTTTTTTTTTATTTTTGTCCAATTATTTTTTTTAAAATAAATAAATAATTTAAATTAAATTGGTTGGTTGGGTGGAAATTTCCTACTTGCAAATTGACATGATGGCCTTTGTGACAAAATTGCAGACAAAATTGCAGGCCCTCCGACACACTCTACATCTTCTGACAACATTTATTACACTCAATATAATAACATATACATCAAAGGAGAACATAAGTAATTATAGTTGATTGCAATTTTAGTTTTGTTAAGTGATTTTATATGAATAAGAACAAGAAGTTCATTTTTTTTTATTGACCTTGTTTGACAATTAACTGTTAACATAAGCGTAGAGTGAATCGTAATAATTTAACGAGTTGTCAGTATTATATGTTTTGACCAGCTATATTAATTTAACGGTTCTGCAAAAACTTATTTGGTGAAATACATGGATTGTTTTTTAACACCCAAAAAAAAAAAATCTAATCAAAGATTATTGATGTAACTGTGCGTCACCTTCCTCGACTTTTCCCATTCATGTTATTTTATTTTTAATTGTGGCGGCTACTTTTGAAGGTCTGCCTCTTTTTGGGAAATCCGAAAAAGTGATTATGTGAAACTCACGTGAGTAAAAAAGAGAACATGCATAATTGTAATCTAAATGAGGAGTTTTTAAACCTCTTTTGCTAGTGGAAGTAAATTTAAATATATATATAATGGTGAAAACTAAACAATAAGTTGGAGTAGCTCAGTTGGTTAGAGCATCTGGTCCTTAACCACAAGGTCAAAAGGTTCAAACCCTTCCTCTAGCGATTTCGGCTTTCTCTGCCATTTTTTTCGCTTTTCCTTTTTCTTTTCGCTTTTCCTTTTTCCCAGTTCAGTCGCTTTTGGATTATTTTTGTGAACGGAAATACTTTGATTGATTTTGTCATCATGTTTCGCTTTTGCAGTTNCAATTTTTCACCTTTACAGACATTTTTAAAATAGTTTATGAATAAAAAAACATTTAATGTTTTTAAAAAAAAGCAACATATTATTCCTCCCTGATATGGATATGGAAAATGAGATACCCGCGAGCTGAGTTCGAGTCAGCTCGTTAAAATTCTAATTTGGCTCGTTTATTTTGTAGCGTAGCTTGAGCAAGAGTAACACTAATTTCATTAATGAGCCAATTCGAGTCGAGCTTCACTAGCCAGCGATTCAATAAGCTCTATAAGTATGGGAAAATATTTAAGTTTGATATTTCCAAATGTTATAGCCCTTCTGAAAGTATTGCAAGAATTTTGCAAATATAGTAGAGGAAAGGAAAGGGTTTCAAGATTTTAATCTCAAGCTTCCTTCGAGATTTTTATAATAATTTATGCTCGTCTCCTCGAGCATGAATATACAAGTTATCATATCTTAAAAGCACGTTGCTAACAGTTTGTTACATCTCTCTCAGTAGATTCTACCTATTTTTTTCCGAAGAAAATCACAGCAAGTACAGATGTGTGTACATAAGCAAAGCTAAACTAACCTCATTCCTGTGGAATAGATTACCTTTCACTAATGTTTCTTATCTGCTGTTTTCCCTTTTGAAATTATTTTTCTTGCATGTGTGATTACATTAAAACTTCACCTGTTAAAATAGAAATTATAACATTAAAGCTAGTTACTGCTTAGTTGTGCTAGTACAAACTTCTAAACAACTAAGGACTGAGGATGAGTAAAATGATGGCAAACAGTTGTAGCTAAAAATAAGATTGAGCCATTACATTTAACAGCCTTGCACTTAATGGTGTGAATTATACAGAGATCTGTTCCCAACTTTTACAGTCATCTCCCCTCAAATATGCAAAGTACAGTTTACCCTTTTCCATTTTCAAATTGAAAGGATTGAAGAGCTATACAAGTCATAAAAAACAAAGCAAAATTAGGATTGCATAAATAATATGAAGCCCATACAAAGGGCAAAATGGTAAAAACACGTGATGCATCCCCTCATCCAATCGGCGATAGAAAGGCTGTGTAAGAGCCATCACCATACTTCAGTCCTTTCAGAAAGGCAGAATGCCTTTGGAGGGAGAGAGTTGTATTTGGAATGCTAAAAGAACTTTCACTTTCTTGCAATTGTTCATGTGCTGTAGCTAGGTGAGAAGATTGATCTTTGGTTATTACGTCTAGACCAATATTCAAGCCAGTTGAAGTAGGCTCGGTTGAAAAACTGCATATAAATAAAAAAAAAAAAGACAAAAAAAAGCGACTAAACTAGTAAGCGTAAAACCATATATAAGTTGCAATTGCCAATTGGTGCTCAGGCAGCCGAAAATCGTACTCATTTGCATAAAAACTTGACATGGTCTTTTCTTTAAGAGAGAAAAGTATGCACACGTGATGAACAAAATTTTGAGCAATTATTTCAGGTTGCTTATATTGAAGGAACTAGGACCAAAATTGTCCTAAATAACAACCACTATTTGATAAAATGTAACATGCCTATTTCATCAATAGAGTACAATATTTAAGCAATAAAGAGAATTTGGGTACCTGGCTTGAAAGTCACCTCCATTACATTTCATAGCATTGCAAATGCCAGAAATTACCCATGGAGGAAGATATGTGTCCTTAATTTCAACACTATAGCAGATCCCAGCACTCGAACTTTTAGGTTCACTGTCCTTGTTACAGTCCTTGAGCTGAAACGACAAGTAGTCAACCCGTCTTACCTGTTTGCATCTAACCTGCATAACAAATATAAGCCGATTATGATTAAGTGCACCATAAAAAAAAATGGTTGGGGATATGAATCTAGAAATTCTTGGCATATACTGAGGCATGTAGCTGTGGCAATCCTATTATTAACCTTACACTTCACTTTCTAATTTCCAGTTCCAGTAACATTTGATAATGAACCTAATAGTTCACATCCGATAGTATTTGAACAATTTACACATACGCCACTGTTTACCAAACCATGTTATGTGTTTCATTACAAACACTTTTAGTAGCAACCACAATTCAACATTTCCAATTGCTTTTACTTATACATGACGCAGGTGACTTTCTTGACCAACATCTGCCTGTGCTACTTTACAAAAAACTACATAATTTTAGGCCAACCTCAGGAGTTGAAAGAGAAGCATTCTCAAAAGGAACTGGTGAATATAGCACGGGAACATCACCACCAGTCAAAGAAGCTAAGAAATACCTGAAAGAAAAAGAATATAAAAATTTCAGATAAAAGATGACAACACATACTGAATGTTGATTAGTAATTTTTCAACATCTTGAAAAAAAGAAAAAAAGAAAAAAGAAAACAAGCTAAATAAACAAGCAAATGCTGTACAGCGACCTGTAATTCAATAGAAAATCATACAACGCGTGTACATTCTTGTTCCCAGTAAACATCAATAAGGATTGTGGAGTGTTATCAACGCCAATCAAGGACTCCATAGCTCGAGTCTGTGACATTCAAATGAATCATTAGATTACAACTGCAAGCATGAGTGGATTTGATGGGAATAATGATTTCTTTTCTAAAGCCATTAACCTTGAGTGTACAGCAGCATAATGAGAAAGAGATCTTTAGGAATGAACAAAAGCAAGATCCATGAAATGTGAAATTATATAAACCGCTTCTGTGGGTAGCTCTGAAAATAATTACACTTAGGATATGTAAAGTTAACATCCTAGAAGAGTAGCTACTAAATTTAAGCAAAAAATGCTTAGCATTTTTTATCGCTCAAGATACCAGAGGCTTTATCATATTAACCTCATAGATGCTATTCCAAAAGATACATTTGACATAAATGGCAAAAGTTCCAAACCTGGCCAAGATTGTGTTTTTCGATGTGGGAAAGTTCAACAATGTCTTCTGCAGTAACTTCTTCTACTTTAGAGGAACAAAGAGGCATTGAGAAAGAAACGTCCTGAACCAGAATTTAAAATTTTTATGTGTCAACTAACAGAAGAGGTGTAAAGGGAACAGTATCGCGAAGTAACAGATAAGAAGATCCAAGTGGCTGGAAAAATGAAATCAAATCAAATGGACTCATCTTTGAAGATAAATATAAGACTTACGTGTGCTTTTAGAAGTGACCTTAAATTTCTCGTTGACTGGGATACATAGGCATGGCAAGAACACTTGGTTTTGCTTGCACCATCATATGCAGTGAACATAACTACAACCTGGGGACTGCACACTGCAAATGTTTTTGGAAGGGAGGAAAAAAATGAATATTACACCCAACATGAACAAATTAATTTTAAGCATGTATTCATTATGCATACAAAGGAAATAAAATAACAGACCAATGTGAGGTATTCAGGAACAATATATCATGATTGAATGACTGGTGTCATATTATAGAAGAACAAATGAAGATACCCAATGTGAGGTATTCAGGGCTCAAGTTTTAACTGTTGGCAGATGGACCAGTAACTATTTGCAATTAGACTGCAGCCAATTCCAGAATTGCCCAAAGCAAGACAGGTCCATCAGCCAACAGTTAAAGCTTGCGCCCTAGTATCTTCACTTGAGCTCAGATAATTTTCTCCAAGTATTATACCGGTATTTAAGGATCATGGATATTGACATTCACAAAGAATCATGTAAAATGGAGACTTGAGGTCAGGAATTCAGATGGAGAAGTCAGTGGCAAATAAAAGTATAAACAGTGCATATTGCCAACAGAAATGAGACTGTAGCAAACATGACGATAATATCTGTGATTTTAGTTAAAAGATGCAAAGGGAGGACCGGCCAGCATTGTCGGCATGCTCGAAAGAAAGCTATAAGTTTATCAGCAAGATGCAGTACTATAGTTACAACAAAATACAGATGTTAAAGATAAGAGTCGTACAGATGGATGTTCATAATATAATTGCTAATTTACAAGAGATCAATGAATAAAAATTATTTAGCATTGAGGTAGCACTACCCCATAATCTCATCACACTGATTCGATTGAATAGTAAATGGCAAAAGTTAATTAGTCATTACCATAAAATAGTTTACAAATTTTCTTCCTCAGCATGTAATAAAGACTTCGAAATGAATCCTCCCATGCTTGCTGCCTTTTACTTAGGAAGTCTGTTTGCCCATGATCAATGATAAGCACTATTAAAAATGAGAGAAATGGAGAGAAAGAAGTATGATGACAATATAAAAAGGTGGGAGAATTTCCAAAAATACCTCCAGGTGCAGATGCCAATGCTGATATGGCTGCTAGAGGTAGAATAGATTGAGGATACATCCAAGAATGTGATTGGCTTGTGGAGGTAGGTTCTGATGAGCAGGTGGAACCTTGAATTTGGTAACCAGCATGTGAAAAAAGATTCATACTGTTTGAGGTGGCACAATTTATTAACTTATGAAACCTGTAAACCATGAAAAGAAGAATATTGACTGACGACGAAAGTTGATGTCCAGGTAAATATGAGAGTGGTAGTAAACAAATGAAACAATCTTGTATTAAATTAAGTTCTAATTAAGTGCATCAAGAGATTGAAACTAAAATTCCCAATTAAATATATTATGTCACAGGACTACAGTGGTCATGAATCATGATGAATGCATGCTTTAGAAAAGTTTCATAAATTCTTCTCCTCAAATCAAAATTCTATCCTTCTACAAAGCATATTAAAGTCCAATGGTAGTTTTCAAATATCGTTGTAAGAACCTTATTCATTCTCAACACCTGTTGCACTCAAAGTTTCCAAGAGGCTTCTTAATATGAATAAATGGAAAAAATGATGGGAATATCCTGTTCAATAATAGTTTCTATGAATGCATATTTTTCCATAAAAAATAAAAAAATAAAACAGAAAATGATTACAGTTAAAAATGATCAAAAGGAAAGAACCCAACTATACATTGTCCAAACAAATTAAAATTATAAAATTATAAAAGGACTCCCCACTATAATTATGTCACAGAACTATCATAGGGTAACAAACCAGTACCCCAAAGAACAAGTCTTTAATTGGTTGAATATACCTCAACAAATTGTAGATGATTTTTTAACATGTACACTTTGTGATTTATCGATGAGATTAAAACATCTAGATGTTGTTAATACAGTACTACCAAGATCAAGAAATAACTTACCAACTGACAGAGGATGAAGACTGCAACCTCATGGAAGTTTTAAGGGTTAAATCGAGTGGAATATTGTGACCAGGTATATGGATTTCTGAACAAAAGCTATGAGGCACAATATTTCCTGCTGTATCTATAGACTCAGGAAGTGGAACTGAAGGAACACGAGATTCACATGAAACAAGTCCTTTCAAAGCTTTGCCCTGAAGATAAATAACCAAACTTTAAACTCCACCTCAACATACTTTGTCAAGTTCAAGATAAAATTATAGTGGAAGAATACCATATCTACAGATGAGGAGCCATTTAAGTTTTCACCACCCTGTGATAGCTCTTTAACACTCTTAAAGGTATTGTGAAGGCATTTTTCAGTCGAGTTGTTATGATTGGAAGAGTCAGTTACACCTTCTGATGCCATACTATCCACATTTGAAGGGCATACATAAAACAAATTATCAAAGTTAGAAACTTTTAAAACATAGTCAAACCTAGAGAACTCCTGAAAAATCATTTGTACCACATGTTCTGCCCTTGTTTGCTATTTAATTCCATGGGAAAACTGGAATCTTCCAGGCTGCTGAAACACTTGCTTGGATGATAATCCTGCCAAATGTCCATTACATAATACAAAATATCTTAAACCAATCACTGAAAGTTGAACCCAGCATTCTTAAAATGAAGACACAAATAGTATGATGTGCACACTTAGCCTAAAAATAAAGTTTAACCTTAGAAGTTCCCTTTCTGGAAAGCAGCCTACTGATTTTAGTTGCTGGGAAATGTTCATCCATTCGTGTAAATCGCGGTGCTTTCGATGAATCTGATTTACTGGGTCCAGAAGCTGCTCCATCTACATTTCTAAACAAAGCAATGGATTTATGGCAAAGTAAATCCCAAAGTAATTCAAGAAAAGCAGGGGGAAAAAGTTCTACCTCATGAAACTAGGAAGAGACGGAGATTCATGAGCAGACTCTACTGGATTCTTAAGCTTCAATAGTTCTCCCTACCAAATAAACAAAATATCACCACTCTAATACAGATAATCCCCATTCCAGTTTCTTTGATTTTAGGAAATCATGTACAAAGGTCATTATTTGATACTGCAATAATTCATGTAATTTTTAGAGGAAGAAAAAAGGAGAATATATATATTAACAGTACTCATTAGGAACCAATGCTCAAAAACAATCTCTAGCTGTAGAATGATTTCCCAGCCAAATTCAGGTTACTGGCGGTGGCATGTAACGGGGACCTTTTTCATTTCAAAATTGTGGACAAGCCTTTGGCTCTATTAGATTCTAAAGCCTAAAAACCCTTTAGCAGCACAAATTAACCCATTTTACCACATTGCAAGTCAGACAATAAAGTCAGCATCTTTAAAGCAACTAGTGGATTCATTTCTCATATACAAAACCAATCTATCGGTCTAAGTTACATCTTACATTGCTATACATAACCAACAACGCAACTGCCACCATTAACATTCAGGTATCTAACAGAAAACAAAGCAGTTTAAAAGAGCAGCAAGATCTATGGCTGTAATGCGTTACCCGCAACTCAGACGGAGTTTTCCTCTTCAAAGTGGTGGTTGAGATCTTGGAGACCCCACCTCCGCCAGCCCCGCCACCAAAATGAAGAGCATTAGACGCAGGCAACTGAGCGGCCGCAGCAACCTTCGTCATCTCGCGCAACCGGAAGCGTGCACCAGTAACTGCAAACTTTACATACATACCCCATTAAATTACAGAGAAATAGCTCAAATCAGTAGAAAGTCAATGTAAATATAACCTGGATGGCTGGACATGGGAACGAAATCAACTAGGGTTTCGAAATTTGCTACATTTCCTTCCGATTTTTACCTGGATTTTGCGGAGCGTGTCGAAACTTGTCGCTGCTATGGTGGAGATTGAGTGGGGGGAAATGGAAAGGTGGGAGAAAGCGGGAATTGAGGCTCAATTACAATGTCGAGTGAGTGCGTGTTGGATTTGGAATTCATTTTGAATAATTTGGGTTCCCTCGTCTGTGCAAAGGGCCGTTAGTCGCGCCGTTATTAATAATGACGGACCTGACGGTCGTTTACCATTAATTGTTGACACTTCGTGAATCGGGATTCGGCCATTCGGGACGATGAGTGGGCCGGGCGGGTAAAACCCGGTTGCGGTTGCGGTTGCGGTTGCGGTCCAAATTCTACACACAAGGACATTACTTCTATCATGGATTTTTCATGTAAAGGAGCATATATAATTTATGGATTGTATTTTTTAGTATTACATATAAAGTAAAACTAATCTGATAATTTTGTACCAAAAATAGTTGAACATAAAATCCACAAATATTAGTGTGTACTAATTTGAAAAAGTGAGCAAACACATTTGAAATCTATCTATATATATAATTTCAGACTATCAAATTAATACAAATGACATAACTTATACACACAATTTTTCAATTAGTTATGATAAAACCTTTTTTTATATTAATTAAATGTAATCATATTTATTACTTATTCTGTCATTCAATATTTATTACTATAATCAAATAATATAATTTACACTAAATAGTCTATGTAAGTTACATAATCATAAAAAATTATATTACATTGTTATTTATTCTAAAGTAATGTTAGTTTTTTTAATCGTATAATTAATTTTATGGCATTACAATCCCTTACGAAATTCTATAGGGGTTAATAATAATTATTATTGTTTTAATATTTTTATAGTTAATTAATTTGTTGTGATCTCTCAAAGAAACAAAAATACATTATGTGTTACATTTTATGCAATCAATACATAGATTCATTTTTAGTTAAATAATATTTATTTATTTTGTTCATTTATTAATAATAAAATTATAAAATGAGATATATACATTATCTATTTTATAATTTTAATATTATATATACACATAATTCATAAGACTTTATAATTTATATTGTTCATGTGCACATGATCAAAATTTTAAAATTTGTTGTTTTTTTATTTATGTGGACTCTTTCAATCAAGTACTAGTATAATTTTTTTTGTATGGATGACAACAATCTCATAAAAGTATTATAGTGTGGCAATCACGTATAAATTGTACAAAGATAATGATCGTATTAAAGAAGCAAGAGTACATTTTTAAAGGATTAACAATTTGATCATGTGTAACTTTGTTGACCTCTACAATAGAATTAAAAAATGAAATAAAATAAAATTAAAGAAGACCTCCTTTGTTGTTTGATGATGCAGTTGATATCGATCGACTCAATCGCCTATCTGTACAAAAAGTTGATCGGCATGTTGCAGGCATAAAATTAAGTTGATCAGCATGTCGTTCTCGCACGGGAAGATATTGTGCTGAAAAGATCTAGTGGGGCATCTTTGCACAGATCAACCCTTTTTTGTTCTCGTACAACAATAATGATAACCAACAAGTAATTTGTCGAACAACGATGTAAATTGTTATCTTAAAAAAATATTGATAATGTGTATTATTATAAATTATAATGATAAATCAATCGTGCTGAGCTATTGTATTAATTATTAGATTATAAAGAAAGTTTAAAATAACTATAATATACAATATTAAAAAAATTAAAATAATTTTAGCGTAATTTAAAATTAGTAAAGTTTATAACTTTAACAATATGTTGTTATAAACTTTGATTAGGAGAGAGAGAGAGAGGTGTTTTTGTAGGTTTTAATTGTTGATAATTTTTTAATGTGTTAAATTTTAATGTTCATTATTTTTAAACATAAACTGTAAAAAAAAAAGTTATTTTATAACGAGTGAATTAATATATAAATTATATATTAAACTATTATATATCATAAACATAAAAAGTAAAAAAAATAATATTAATATACAAAATTATTTTTTATAATAATCAATCTTCCTCAATCGCTTTAATTTATACGAGTTATCATTATTCTATTGTGCACCATACTATTTTGTGAATTTTTTCACCCCATTGTGAAAATGTATTAAGTTTTCACATCGGGTCTGCTGATAAGTTAACTCTTCACCCTATGAAGTGCAAAAACATTGTGCGATAAATATACGACAATTGTGCGATGGTGCGACAGTTATGTGGTCCATTCACATAACTCTTCGCACTTTCTGGGGTGGAGAAATAAAAGTGTGAATGCATTGTGAGATGAATATGCGATAGTTATTCATTTGATATGCAATAGTGCGAACCATTCAAACAAGCTTCACATTTTTTTGGATGAAAAGGTTAAATTGTTACTCCCTCCTATTTTTAATAAATGTCGTTTTGAGAAGTTGCACAATAATTAAGAATATCTTTTTTTCCAATAATAACCTCATTAATGAGGATAGAGATTGATGTTTTGAGAAAAGATGGAGAGAGAATATGAAAAGACATAGTGTATTTATTAGTTAGATGAGGGTAATAATGGAAAAATATGTACAAAATAGCCAAAACGACATTTATTTAACAAATGATCAATTAAGCTAGGATGACAAATAATAAAAATAGGAGAGAATACCAAATAGTTAAAAAACTTATGGGGGTATATTCATCAGCGATTTTGAGTGACCTTTTGAGACTTTATAAGATTTGAGACTTTTAAAGATTTTTTGACTTGTTAAGAATCCTAAGAGATCTCAAGTGTGGAATTGAGATTTTGAGTGAAATTTCATATATAGTTTTTTTCTTTTAAAATCTCATCGAATTTTAAAAAGCCTTAACAGAACTTAGTCTCAAATAACCTAAATACTTTGAATTTTGTAAGTCTTTTCAAAATCTCAAATAAATACCTCGAGACTAATAAAAGTCTAAAAATTAATACAAATACAAGTATTTTTGAAATAATAAAAGGTCTTTAAAAAATTCAAACCAATAATCTCCCTTGATATATCACGGAATTTTCCCCTACTATTTTTTATTGTAGATGATTCTTTGATAGTAGTTGAATAACACACAATCAACCTCGGTGGTGATTACGGATTACCACATGGATATAATAAATGAATTTACCCCATTTGTCATCCATGTTTGTGATGAAAAAGAGAAATGAAATTATTAAAGGAAAAGAGAATAAATAAAAGAAATCTTATCCATATGCTTTTTCCTCTTTAATTGCCCCACCCAAACACCCCCTATAAAAATACACACCAATCCGAATCTTGGATCTCACTCTTCACTCTCTCTGCATATCAAAGGTACCATAAATCCATCACCAATCAGTTTTTTTCCCTATTCAGAAGCAAAAGGAAATTATATATATATATATATATATATATATAAAAAAAAAATGGGTCTAAGGCTACTCTATGGACTCGTCTTCCTCTCTTTCTCCACCACTTGCTTCCTCTGCCTCCACCTCATTCTCCAGCCCGTTTTCTATGTTACCTCTTTTTAACCACCGCCGCCGGCGGCGCTCCGGCGGGCCAATTGAAGCTCAAGGCGCCGGAGATGGTAGGTCAGTCGCGTTATATATGTGAAGGAGTTGAAGTACGTTTCATGTGTTAGTTACAGCATATTGTAATAGTTCGTGTTTAGGATTTATATCATTACTTGAAGATC